TTTAATACGCCTCAACCTACCTTCAACCTAATCCTGGATCCCATATCGAAACACTGCCATCAAACATGTGTATGTTTCTTCATTTTTAATGCAACATGTTCTCAAAATTCTTTGAGATAACAAAGGAAAATGAAAGAAAATATATTAAAAAAAACATTTTATTAGCAAACTAACATAGGAAAGTAAAAATATAAGAAATTCATTATAAAACTGTAAATGTTGTAAAAAATTATGGTAGCTACTTTTATATTACACGTACCTTACGGTTTGATACTGGTTTAATCTGACCAGATCAAATCTTACAATAGGCTCCGTCGTGAAGTACTTTAGCGTCGTTAGTTTGTTTTGAGATTCACAAAGAATCTTATCACATTTTAGCTGTTTTTTTTTATACCAAATCTCCAGAGGAGTAGATAAATAAAGTAACTACACGTCCAACTTTATATTTTTCGGAGTAACATTGTGTGATGCTGCCTTCGAACTTAAGATGGCTGGCACCTATGAAAAGGTCTCTATAGGAGGAAATGAAAACTACATTTCTAAGAGAATAAACTGCAAGGGTACTAAAGAAAATGATCCCAATTAACACTAACGCTGTCGTTGTGTGTACAGTCAGTGCTATGATAGACCGTGGACATCCTGTAAATATAAATAGTGCATACATTTTTTGTTGATGACAGATTTAAGCGTACATGCTAAAAACGAAACGAAATCAAACTGTGTTTTTGTAGCAAGAATAAACCCACCCACACTACTGCAACAACAGACACAGACCAAAACACAGAGAAAGTTCAACAATCTTGGGACACAACGAATTTAATCTGAAGTAGATTGGTTAAAGTATAAATTAATAAAAGTTTTTTTTTCAGCTCTGTATCAAACTAATATTCAATGGTAATAATTCTTTTCTAAGGGATGGAAATGATTTGTTTTTATAACATTAAAACATAATTTTCAGATAACAATATAAATACCAAATTTAGTTTTAGCTTGACCTTAGAAATCTAGTTGTAATATGGCTATTTATAAATAACTGTGATACTAAACAGTTTGCTCTTCAAATGTGGTAGGAGTGACCAAACCGAATTAAGAAATATGTACTCATGACGCTAAAGTACAGCACGTGTCACACTCATATAAAGTTTGGAAGACCTTAGTGATATTGAACCAGCGGGTGACGGCGCTGCACCACGACTTGCACCGACTTCACACTGTATAACAGGTATACAGATAAGCAAAAAATCACAGCTCCGGTTAATCAAAATACAATTATGTTTTTGTTTTCATGTTTTCTTCACCTTAAAATATAATTCTAAAAATAAATAATGAAGTATTGTACAGGACGGCTCAATTTAAGGGCGAAGTGGATGAACACTCTATTCGTACTAATTCAAAAATATTTTTGAAACGATATCCAAACTAAGAAACTGGAGAAGAAAGAATTAAAGAAGGTGTTAGATATATAAAAGAATGATCTGAAATAAATTAAGGATATTTACATGGCATGTGCATTTAAAGAAAATTATAAAAACCGAGTCATCCACGCCCCCCCTAACACAATTCCAATGTCATAATATTAAATTATTCATGCAATTATCTATAGAAACTTACAAACAATACATAATTATCAATAAAATCTAATAATCAACTCAGGAACAAATGCAATAAAAATCGATCAATATAATCCTTTTCAATAATAAACCTTTTCAAAATAATGTAATCAAATACCAACATAATTTAATATATTACGTGAATATATTAACAACCATTTATGCACTCACATAATTTATGAAGGTAGCCATAGTATCTTAAAGTAATGTGGTAAATCTCTCAATGTTTCTTATTTAGGTACTTATTAAAACTATAAATTCGCTAGTAATACAAATACCATCTAATGAGATACAAGTGGTAGAGTATAAAATTTACTTCCAAAGTCATCTTTCCATAAAATCCATCCATGATACATATTTACAAGTTAATGAGTATTGTTAAGAGTTTCCTCTGGCTTTAAAACTATAATTTTTATATTTACGGCAATCTCTACAGAAGCTTCGTTGTGACGTGTACACATTGTGTAAAACTAGACTTTAGGAGACAGTGTAGGTACGAAATTCAGTCTGAAAACAATTATAACAGTCATTTTTGCGCACACTGATGCACTGAATATTTTATTACAAATTATCAACACGATTACATTTAAATCGACAAAAGCATAGTACTAAAGTAATTTAATATCTAACGTTCATATAATATTGATATAATAAACCAAGATACTTAAAGGACTCTGAGTGTGTCATCAGAATCGACAATAACACTTGGCAGGGTCGGTAGCAGGCAGTGTTGTTTACAAAAAAATACTGAATATTCATTCGTTTGAGTCAGTATTGCTAAGGGCAAGATCTTGTTCCTATTGGCAAAATATTATTAAAGAGTAAATTAAGACAGTTAAGTATGAGGAGTTTAGTTTAAGAGTTTAATTTCTATGTATAAATTATTAGTACTGACACTTAAAGATACAAACCCGACTGACAGATAGACGAATACAACACTCATGAAATGTGTATAATTCTATTTAAGGGAAAACCTCATTAATTTTCTTCTTTACAATAATGTTCAAACATTCATCAACACATTTCAGAGTACGTCGAAATTAAATGGAAAACTATAAAATTCTAAATAATGCTCTTAGGCCTTCCAATCAATAATCCTACATGCTCAATCAGAAATATGACAATATGTAATAAAAACGCCGTATGACTTCTAAATTTTTAACCGTTTCAGAACAATGCAGTGAATAGTTTTTAATTAATTTGGAATTCAAATATAGTTTTTCGAAGAATGTTTCAATAGAAAAAAGTGGCTAGGTCATGTCACAATGTCATTGTATGTGATACTCAACAGTTGACGTGCGGAGGCCGACATAATAACTTGACCTTAATTTCGGTGCTTTAATTTCAATCGTGGTACATAATTGAACTATTGAAGCAGACACGACATAGCCTTTTAACATATTTATTGTACTGATACTTCGATCACGTTGCAGATAAAGTATGTGGTCAGGTTAGTTACATTTATATTTTATTTTTCTAAGTATATTTAGTGTGTATGGTATTATCTCCATTTTACTAAAAAATACTTGAAACATGTAAAAATTATGTATATATTGTCTTATTTTACTGTTCTGCTAGTTATCAATGGGTCTGTATAAGCATTGAGTCATAATTAATTTCCCGACAAAATATGCACCATGTTTTGTTTGTACAGGTATCGTATTTATATGTTTTTTATATAAGAATGTTAATAATCCAATTATCATGCTTTTGAACTATTTAACGGTCAATATATATCGAGCCAAATACTTCGAATTAATAACCGCAATAGAACACATTGAGTGCTCTGTTCTGAGAAGGCACTAATATAAATCTTTTATCTTCAAATGAAAGTTCCATATTTTGTTCGTAATGATGGACATTTATGTCGGATAAAAAAAAGAATGTTCTCTCAACTTTTAGAACGAATGTATGAAAGAAAAATAAAACAATCTGTTATAGTCTAAGATTATAGAGAGATAAGTATCTGGAAATGTCAGTAAAACAGATTAGAATGATGTCTATATTAGGTAATTACTTTCACAAAGTAGAAGGTAAGCATGCACAATACTTTCATGCACTTTCATCTTTTAGATTACTGTTTCATAGCTAATAACAGGTACCTAATAACGGCAGGACATAAATAATGATTACCGGCATAGGTGTTTGACGGTAAATAATGTCTAAGAACCTATCTAGGGAGATATATAAATAATGAGAGGGCGAAGCCCTGTGTTATAAACACACGGATAGAACAAAGAAAGGCCAATTTGTTAGACGAGAAAGGGAGCACAATCTTAAAGACCGCGATTGAAACACCACTTGTATTTCTAATTTATAGCAATCTGAGGGCAATCAGGCCTCTCCCAGTATGAGGCGAAAGATATAATATTGGGAATGAAAAACCGTTCACGGCGTCGCATCGTCCAATATGGACAAACGAATAATGGGTCCGCCCGTTCCGAACAAGCGATTACGTTCGAATCACTAAGAAAAACATTACAATAATAACGCCACTATTCCACTTTTTGTATGAAATCCCATTGCGGACATCTCGGAAATGTTTTAGCACGTAGAATCATTGTGTCGGGAACAGTATTTTTTTAGGTAAAAGATAACCGAAAGATAGATAGGCAGATCTACTTTCATATTTACAAAATTATTTAGTATAAATCTAGAAAAAAAAGCAATGTTCGGACTAAGCGGTACAGTGAAGAGGTGCGGTAGATGAGTGGTGAAAGATGGTGGGTTCTGAATACTCGGTCTTTTACTCTTTTTTTATTTTTAGAAAGTTTAGTCGGCCGCACAGCGGCACAGCGGGAGAAATTACTACGGCGCCGAGACGAGCAGTAACACCCGCACTGCACGTCATTGTTAACTATCAAAAAAAAGTTTATTATGTTTAGACATATCGCCTATATTCCACTGTGAAATCAATCAGACCTGCTTTACGTAGAATCAATCGATACACAAGCGGTGGTGGCGTATCAAGGAACTTATGTTAGATATCTACTTATATTTAAAATGCATATCAACACACTGCATATTATACATGACTTCTAAAGTAAACTAATATTTATGACTAATAAATTATATAGAATGTAAGTTGATTTTATAATCTTGTAAAACACTTAAAAGTATCTGTTCTTAGCTAAAGTAAAATGTATACGGTAACGGGCGGAATTACATACAAATTAACAAATAAGTTTAACGGCCGAGAACCTTCACATACTTTTTTTATAACTGTCTTATTTCTCTATAAATTATTACTTTATTAGCACCGTACCAAATTTATCTGTGATATATTCAGCCTTTAAGTATCGATTATGAAAATACATTGTTATCATATATCACCATGATAAAGTTCAATTGACTATGAATGGGGTGTATGCGACTCTCGCGTTTGGGCTGTTACCTCTGTTTGTTGGGTTTGACGGCGCCATTGGCAGCAGCATTTTTCTGAGCAATGTGAGTCTGATAGTGCTTCGCAAGATGTGCCTTCTGTCGGAAACTTTTGCCGCACAACGAACACGTGAACGGCTTCTCACCCGTATGCGTCCTCACGTGTACATTGACTGAATATTTGTCCTTGAAACCTTTCGAACAGATCGAGCAGTAGTGGAGTGATCTCTCCTTTCGTCCTCCGTTTGAAGTAGAGGTAGCAGCTTGAATAGCGGTTCCGGACTGTGTTTGTGATATCGGTGGCGGGTTTTTACTTTGCGGCCGTTTAGAATATTTTTTGTTACCTGTTTTTGTGCTCGTTACGGTTGGCGATGCTGTTACTATTTGTAAGTGTTGATTCAATTGAACTTCTCCTGCAGGGATCATAGTCACTAGTTCACCGTTTACATGATGTATGTTATAGACATTACGCGTTGGATCAATGGGTTCTACGGTGCAGAAGGATTGCATGGACTCTCCGAGTTCCGTGGCTATCCTCTTCAATTTTTCATAGTCTTCGGGATAGTTTGCATCTAGTCTTGAGAGTAAGATATCGTCTACATTTTGTGTCGATGATGGATTTTCACCGTTTGATAAAACATTGGCATTTGGATCTTCTAATAGTATTGAAATATTTAGACGATTTTGCGGAGCAATTGTCATTAGTAGCTCCGTATCAACGTCTTTGTTGTCTTGGTACATTGATGGTACGTCTGGTTTATTGTTATTGATGGTAATTACTCTCTTAACTTCATTATTGACATCAACTTTTGCAACAGGAATTTTTTGAATAGTGTTATATCTGATCAACGCTTTACCCTGTAAGGCACTTCTGAGCAAAGATTCGTTCGATTCCGGATTTTGGTTTGTAATTTTCCAATCATTATTATTGTTATTGAATTCTACTTGACTGTCTAATAAAGCTGGCGTAGTAATGAGAGAAGGACTATGAGATTCTTCTTTTTTATCAATGCTCGGAAAGTCATTTTCCTCGTAGGGATAAGGTTCCACTTTAACTAATTCACTTGTTGTCAAGTCAGGGTTTTGGCTTTCTGAATCACCTTCTTCATAATTGAAACCTTCTACTTTTGGTAAATCTTGATTAAAGTCATTAGAGAAACCATTCATGTTCAATATAGACTCAAGATCTAAGTTATCGTGTGGTTCTATATCTGCAGGACTAGACATAGAAACATCCTCTTCTTTACCCCAGTATCGATTTGAACTAGTTTCAGACATGTCGTGATTCAGAACTGTTAAAGTGTATATTTGACCGTCCGTGTTATTAATTAATTTGTTAGAAATGGTTGCGTCTGCGCAGGGATGTGTGCTATTAATACCACTTTCTTGGTTCCAATAAAATTTGTTGAGATCCTCTAACATGGCATTATCTAAGCGATCCCGATCGCGATCTACATTCCAAATAGAGTCAAAACTCTGTAACGTCGTAGACGTAGTGGCAGTAGCCATGTTGTTGTTAGCGCCAACCTGTGTGGCAGTTACGCTAAGTAGACTGTTGTTATTTTGTTCCTTAGGCTCTTCTGAGAGCAATGGATTTGACCTAGAATCTGGTGATTCCATGAACACATTCACAGAACGCATCTGTTGTTTGTACTGAGCATCAGTAACCTCGCTAGACGTCACGAAATCAAAGAAATCTGACTTTGACAGTTCTGGGGCAGTGGCCGTCATGACTACCGTTTCATTTACAACCGAGGACGACAACTCGGTTTAATATCGTATCAGTTTTGCTGCATCAAGTTTTTAGTGTTTGCAATCAATTATCTTTGTACTACAATAAATATATCTAAATTTAAATAAGTGAATAACCCGGTATGACTTGTACTTTATTGGCAGTCGCTAGAGCGTCGGTAACTGAAAGTTCAGGTGTGCAGGGCACGGGCTGGGGTGCTACTCGGACGTGCCCAACGTGCTCGAGTCAATCGGCGGACCAATCGAGTGTGCGAACTTGATCCGTACGTTCCTTTTTTCCATTATTCACCCCAACCCTATTCCTTGTTGGTTGAGAACTTAGGCAACGAGAATATCTGCAGAGAACATGCACACCGTCAAATATTCCATGTTTTGTCTGATGATCCTCTGAAGAAGAAGACAATCTGAAAAAAAAGAAAAGTCTATTAAGTTAGGCACATAATTAAAGTAATAAATATGATAGTATAGTTAGTTAGCACAAGTACACAATATTGTATTCTGATATCAAAGTTTCAAACAAGATAAGTATATATCTCAACGTCTAATTAATAAGTCCAGTCAGAGTCTTTAGATCCTGTACGAAACCAGGGCGAACCAGTCACGCGTCGTGCCTATCAGGCATCACGTAGTGCCTGCGCTGGTGGCGGCGCTGCCTTCCAAGCTCTACGATGCGACTTTCAGACCAAATACCAAAATATAAAATTGAACATAAAATTTTATTAAAATGAAAGCAGAAACGAGAACATCACACGGTATATAATTCTACTGGTTGTCTAAATATTTTTACTTTCTACATTATCATACATATTTTAACATCCTTCGTTTAGTTAAATGTAGTCAATTCGTTTAATTTGTGAGTAAAATGTAGACTTTAAGTTATATATTTACACTAGAGGTTTTCGATATACATACGTATAGGTACATGTTGTAAAATGAGAAAGGTCTGTCAAACGACACGAAGAATTGGAGCAAGCGCGAGGAACCGAAACAGACGATATTATGTTTCATCTGACAGTTGATACAATGGTAACACGCTGATATTTGAAGAAATATTATTTACGACCTGTATACTTTACATACGCTAATGATGCCAAATAATTTAATATGGTTATTAGCGAAACAATAAAAATACCGCTATTGTTTCTTCGAGTTCTAGTGCCATGGGAATAAATATATACAGGTATTTTGTAAAATCATTGTAAAAGTTATAAAATAGCAACGGCTTAACCGTCTATTGATACTAATTATTAATTCCGGAAATATAGGACGTTTCGTCCTTTAAAAAGATCATTCATTTAATAAATATGTATAAAATGAAGTATTTCATTTGGTCTGTCTCAAACTGACTGTAACTCTCTATTTTAAATTTAATTTAATGTTAACTATCAATAATTTATTTCATCATCTAGGTCTTTTTAATGTAATTCGTTGATGGAACTCGAAATCCTCGGTGCCTTATAACTGTTATTAAGTTGAAAACGGTCTGTGTTGTACAAATGTTGGTAAGCAATAAAAAAATTAGAAAGAATCTTTAATAATGGTTACTAACGTTGTTGTCTATTTTTGCAGTTTTGGTTAGTTCGTTTTGTAACAATAGATGTATGCATGTGTGCTCAATGTAATCTATTCTTAAAACAAGCAGACATACATTTCTAAAATGTTACGCTTACGCTTATTAATAGTGTATAGTAATTTTCTATTAGTCGCCTATAGAATACCAGGATGTGGTAAGTTGCTACTGGCAGATCATAAATTAATATATTTACTCTCGCGAAAGAAGCTCGTAAAAGTCTAAATTCAATCAGTACTTTGCAATGATTACCACACAAAGATATCTCAAACTGTACTAAACTTTATACAACCTGTCATTATTTTAAGCGAAACACTAAGTTAACATGCGAAATTGTTTTGTAACTAACGGTAACGCTAAAAATAGTGATTTTGGCATTACTTTAATCGTATTTCACAATAGTTAAACGGAGCCAGTGGATTAACCTAAAATTCTGTATAAAAATATTATCTAAAGCTGTTAAGATTTAATTGTACATCCTGAAAGTAGGAATATTGTGATAATGAAAGGTCTACCTTAAGAGCGTCAAAGTGGATAAACCCAGTTGGTTCAGGTTGGTACAATCGCAGGTAACTATTATAGTTGCCTGCTAAGGTCGCTGCAGCGGTTTTTCTGAGAAGCAGGTCTCGTAATAGCTTCATAAGCCATTAACTTTACCGATAAGCGTCCATTACTACAATTGGTTTGTGTCTCGTATTTGCAACACACCAACAAAATAGTTTTTAGCGATCACTGTAGGTATGTTGCGCATACAAACTGTAATTATACTTGAAATTTTAGTCTCATTTTATCGATGACAGACTTTTTTCTTTTAAATTTTAATACTGATCAATTCCAATTCTGAGAAGTGATTTCTGTTTACTTAAACGATTATTAGTAAATTGGTTGAAATGAAGGATTTAGAAGCGATGAAAAATCGATTATTAAGTCTCTAAAAATAATACAAGGTAACGGAGAGTGTTCCTGTAGGTATTGTTATAATAAAGCAGTGAGTAATTAGGTGATAACAGTTTGTCTTAAACGCCAAGTAAGGATATGAATTTGATGAGTTTGTGTGAGAAGTAGCGGTGTGCGGAGGGCGCCGCATGTGGGTTAACGAGCGTGGTTGCGCCACGAACGCTGACTGCGCCTGCGCACTGCGCCAGAACACCGCACACTAGTGATCAAAGTTTGTTTCAAAGTAAAATGTGGCACGAGGAATTTATAAAAACTAAATAAGCAACATTTTTATTTTATGTGTAGCATTTGTGTATGAACACAAATATGTTAAAGGAACATTGTTCTTACAATGTGTTAAAGGAACATTGTAAGAACAATGTTCCTTTAACACAATTGAATGTATGATGTATCCAGCAGATGTATCCAGCAGTTCTGTAACTGCACTGGACAGTGCAGTGCTTTGATCAAGAAAGTTTATGACTTAATAAATAATAGCGTAATTCTACTAATAAGGACGCTAGAGATAAACTTTGGTTGGTACTTGATGATGATGCAACGCTACAAAGGTTGAACCAAAAAGGAAAAGTGATAAAAATGTCGAAAATAAAATCAGATGTGGACAATTCATTATTTAGCAGTTAAAACATATTTTGCATTGACTTAAATGTACGTCATACTTACACTGCTGTTTTCACATTTTTAAGTTCCGCAGCATAATAATCAGCGTTATTCTTAAAGAAAAGTGCAACCATAAACGCGTCTATTTTAGGAAGAGTTCTGCTATCAGCTCGTACAAAATTTGACTCCATTTTGCGATTTGTATAGATATTAATACCACTTCTTTCTGAATCTATTAAAAAATACTTTTAGAAATAACTAAAACACTTAAAAAAAACACATAAATGCGCACTTAACATCGGTTGAAGGAATCCACAAATTAAGATTTTTGTTTTGTTTACTTCATATCTTTTAATCTATGGTTCACTTTTGACACTTGTGACCATTGCGGTGTCGTCACAAATTTGTGTCCAATCACAGGACGTTCCCGTCCGAGATAAAATGATTAAAAAAAATTAAATTTATTTCGCTAAATTTGCTTAAAACTTTACACCAAATAGTGTAAAATAAAATAAATTATGCTTTTCTATCCTTTTATCTACTAGGATGGCCATAATTTAGAGAATATTTTCAATGTTGTCAAATAGCCTATTCAATGATACGAACAGTGACGTCTTAACGTTCTATAATTAATTTGGCAAAAATCTGATAATAAGTCAAAATCGTATACCGATGACAGTTGTAAGCCGTTGTGTTGAAATTTACAATTCGCTTAGTTTTTGACTGACGGTTTTATATTTTGGCGGCTAAAAACCGATATACAAAAACCGAAAATTTTGAAAAGAATTACAAAATTAATTTGCTAAAATTATAAGCTGAATAAAAACAATAAAAAAAAAAAAAAAAACTATCATTTTCCATTAAAACGTTTTCAGATATGGTGTTGCCTAAACTAATTTATTAATATGTTTTAATTACCCTATTATGGATATTTAACGTTCTCCTTTAGAAAGAATACACGTCATCGCTCCCAATGGCCAGGTCGACTTGCGTACTCTTAAGATATAATGTTTGTTAACGCAAATACATATTATGCATTATATCTCCTTGCTTAGTATAAACTGCATAAGGTGAACCTTGAATATTTCTAACATATGTTACTTTTACTAATGATGATTATAGTCCTACTATATAATGCATATTATTTCCTATTTCTAAAATTTATAAACAGGCTCCTTACCTTAGGGTGTTATATCCCTACCTATGTTTTAAATTAATAGTAGATTAAATTTGAGAAAAAAAAAAATAGTAAGCTAATATACATTTATATTTATTCACTAACTCATTGTCAGTAACTAATATTAGTAATTGCTTACATCTTTACATAGTATAAAATAAAGTCGCTTTTCTGTGTTGTGCGCTTAGAACTTTTAAAATAAGAAACAAATTTATTGTGGTTTTTACCTATAAAAAAATCCTGATAGTTTATTTCAATGTCCTAAGGATAACCCACAGTAACCATTTTTATCTTTGAAATATTACAAAAAAATAATGGGTTATTTACGAAGCTATTTTAAACAATACATTATTATCAATTATCACATTAAATACGTTGTGCATTTAATATAGATTAAAATTGCTCTAAACAGCATATCATTAAACTGAATATTTTAGAAGATATTAGAGGTTTAAAATATGGGAGCCCAACGACCGTCGAGTCGTACGTCCATCAAGATGTCCTGTAGTATAGTCCTATTCTGTCCTATCATAAAAATAGTATAATTAATTACTCTACACTGACACCATATCAGTAGTATCCAAGTTGCACCCGTGCGAAGCCGGGGCGGATCGCTTGTTATCTATACTATACGGTCAGTATTATGTCAAATACATCTAAAAGTATTCTTTTTTT